TGGGTATTGAGGAGGGCACGTTCTGCATGGAGCACTGGGTGTTATGCACAAACAATGAATCATGGAAGACTTCATCTAAAACTAATGATGGAATGTATGGGGATTAACATAAGAATAAAAAAAAACAAGGGGGGGATGAGCCTTCGAAGTGCCCCATGTATTCCCCTTCACAGGCGATACAACCAAAGCTTAGACAAACCTGCCTGAGGCTACTTGGCAAGATTGTGGGAAGTCTGGACTAGAACCCAGTTCACCGGACTCCCTGTACAGTGCTCTTTCTACAGTACCGTGTCACTATGGATCCGGGAAGGGAAAGTACTTTAGTGGTGGGATCCCTTTTTCAAATGAAATATTTGCCTGGAGAGTCACTCCTCTCCATTTCCACCACTGTCCACTCTCGTTCTGGGATCCCAGGTCCACGGTGTTCCGATACAAGGACCTTTCACCCGTGGTCCCTGTGGATAATCATGGATCCAATGCCAACAGTCCCCAGGATACTTAGAATTACAAGGGTCCCTACTCTGAGGAACTGGGAGCATTCATAGGATCTTCGTTCCTCTGAGGATAAAGCTGGGCCTTGCATCCCCTACACGCTGGTTTGTTCTGTTAATGGCAGGACTCAGCGCAGGGTGACATGGAGCCTAATGGACACCGTAATAGTTGCTGCTTGCAGTTGTTGGTCTTCTGCTGCTGCAGCGAGTGACCAATCTCCCCCTCGCTGCTGCTTTCCAAAATTGTAGTTGTAAACATTGCAGTAGCAGCGATCGTACTGTCCTTTATTAAATAGGCTTCCTTCAGGAGCCCAAGGTGTCAAGCTTTATGGTCACCGATGAGCTGGCTCCCCCCGCCATTATGACAGTGACCTCTAAGTGACAGCCAGTTTTGTGAGGGACTCTTGAGCTAGCAGGACAAAAAGCAAGATGTGCTGAATGCTCGCCATCCTTTTCTGGGCCTAGCTCACACCAAATATAGAAGCTTGTATCTGAAGGGACTTTGGAGACCAGCTTTTCCAGTTTCCCCTGTGTACCCATTTTACAGATGAGGAAACAGAGGTCCAGAAAGGAGAAGGGCCCCGTCTAGGGTTACGCCGCCGTGAGTTAGTGGCCAAGCTAGGACTGGAATCTACCTCCTCTGACCTGCAGCCCTGTGGTTTTCCCACCACACCACCTAGGCGTGCCTTAAGACAATCTGTCTGGAGAATTTCCTTCCTTTCCTGAGAGGGAGGGAGAGAGCCGGGAGCATTTTATCCCACGTCAGTTAGGAATTCAGACAATCCTCCAGCAGCTCGGAGGAAGCCTGGGCAGTAGCATCCTTGAACCTTGGCTCTCTGCGTTCCTAGCCCGAGGGTCTTCCTCTGAAGCTTACTTCCACCTTCCTGCCCTCCCCCAGGAGGACGAGCCTGTTCCCCAGAGCCAGCATGGTGCCTCACTGCCCTCCTCAGAGCCTGCCCAGAGGCTCCCTCTGAGGCCAGTGGTGGCGACTGAGGAGGCGGGGAGCAGAGGGTGTGTGGCTTGTGGGTGGGTCCGCGGTGGTGCTCACACACTCAAGTTGTAAACATATTGGTGTCACCACCCCTGGACACTTCCTTGCTGACAGCTCCCACAAGCTGCCCCGTATCTTACAGATAGGGGAGAGCCTTCTAGGCTAATCGGGAGGTCAGAAGTTGTCCAGAAGCCCCCAAAGGGGAAGGGAGGCCCAAATGGACCGCCGCCAGCTCTGCGTCTTTTCTGCCCCTCGTCAGTGAGGGCTGAGGGGCTTGTCTGGGCCTCAAGGGGAGCCCTGGTAGCCCTTTGAGTAGCGAGCCCTGAGTGCGGGACTGCAGCGGGCCCAGCAGGCTCTCTTGGTAACGGCTGGGCTCAGGTTGAGACAGGCTTAGGAGCAGCACAAATTCAGGGCCTCAGCCAAGTGGCCTCATGACCTCAGTTGGGCAGCCAGTCCCCACGCAGAGCATGGTACCCAAGGTTGTGGACTCTTGCAGGGCTCTGAAAAAGCCTCAGCAAGGAGACCTCTGAATTACATCTTCTTCCTTCTAGCACTTTCTAGGTTAGAAAGGGCTCTCACGCTACATCTCATCTGATCATCACAGAAACTTTTTGGAGGGCAGGGCAGGTCCTAATAATCCCATATTCTAAATGGGGAAATCTGAGGCTCAGAAGGTTCAGTGATTTGTCCAAGGCCACACAGAATCGCCCCATCTGTGTTCTGCTCCCGGTCGGCCTTAGACCTCTCAGAAGAGAGAATGTGGAGCCTTTGGCTCTCCAGGGGAGGCCGAGGCTTTCAGAGGCTGGGACTGAAGACGGGGCTGGAGGACAGAGGTGGAGCCAGGACGAAGTGTGGGACTCGAAGAGCAGGCCTTTGGCAGGGGCCTGGGGACTCACCGGGGTGTCACCAGCTGGGTGGGCTCTGTGTGCCCCACCTGGAGGCTGCTGCAGGGGGCAAGAGACACAGGGCGGGTGGAGCTGGTGGGAGAGGGGAGCTGGGCCTGGTTCTTAATCCCAGTGAGGTGGGGTCTCAGAGGCAGTGCAGGAGCATGGGCTGATGTCCCGGGGGTGAAGGAGGCCTGCGTCTGCCTCGGCAGGAACACAGCTCCGCCCAAGCCCTGGGAGACAGGGACCTGAGGTACCAGGAGGCCGGTAGGTCTCCCTAGAGCCTGCCAGGCTTCCTGCCTCCCCGTGGGCCACACACCTAGACTATTGCAGGGGTGCGGGGTGGATTTGAAAGTTGAGAAGGTGTGATGAGCTTCTCTGTGCTCAGGGGACCTGAGGCCTCAGAGAGACTTCACGTCTGAGCGGTTGATGGGCATGTTTCCATGCCAGCGTTTGGAGAATCTGATGTGGGACTCTGGCCCCTTGGTTGGAGCCACGGGGCTTCCTCAGTGTAGACAGGGGTGGAGTTGTCCTCTCCGATGCTGTGACCTGCTTTTCTGTGTTGCACATCACAGCAACAGACCTGCAGGGCTGTGGGGAGCCCTGGGGCCTCTGACCTGGGCCCAGCCCGGGCCGTGACTCCCTCCCTCACGGGGCGGCTGACAGTGGGGCAGCATCTCGAAGTGAGGCAGCTTTTCTCACTTCCAAAAGTGGCTTCGGCTTTTTTCCCATGTTGTCCCTGGAGGGTGGAACCCAGATCTTATTCCCCATAGAATTTTCTAAGCCCCCAGGACTGCGCTTGGCACGTAGTAGGGATGCCGTCATTGTCTGAGAACAGCATGGGATGGCCTTTCTTTTGGAATTACTTTCCACCTTGGCCCACGGCCTCGTGTCACCTCTGCCTGCGAGGGGCCCTGGGGTCACAGGAAGGGCTACATGTAAACAGAGCGTCAGCCCTGTTTCGCGGAGCAGAGTTCTTGCCCAGGGGCATGAGTCATGGGCCCCTAACCAGCCTCATCATAAGGAGCTAGATTGTAAGCTCTGCAGGGGGATTTTTGTGCATTTGGTTCTCTGATAAATCTCAGACCCGTCAAACCATGCCTGACACCTCGAAGAAGTTTCTCGTTGGTTGAATGAATGGATGTGGTGGGCAGCAGGATTGAATGTGCCTGAGGGTTCCTTCTCCGTTTGCCTGTCCCGTCCGGCCTAGCCTTGTGCCAGGCACACTAGCGAGTCCTCCAGGTTGAATGGTGAGCAGCTAGCCCTCTGGGGCTGGTAGAGGAAGTTGGGAGTGGGGTGGCATCCTTGGCCTACCCCCTGGCAATAGAACATTCCCCCCCGGGGTGGTTCTTACTCTGGGCCTGGCTACTTAACCAAACGGGGATAATGAGGCTTGCAGAGCTGGCAGAGTGGTGGGGAGGAGTAATTAGCCAGGGTTTGGAAGAAGCTGTTTAAGTGGGTGGGGCCAGGCCTGGCTGGTATGAGGGGACTCTGGGGAAGTGGCCCCAGCTTCTTCTCTCTGGCCTTGGCACAGAATCAGGGCTGACATGACAAATGCTACCATCTCGCCTAGGCTGATGAGTCCCTGACACACTGCTGCCCTCAAACATGGGATGTCACCTTCCAGGGTGGGTTCGGTTCTCAGTGCCCTCCCTGGTGGCCACAGCAGTGAGCCGCAGACTCCGGGAATGCGGGGCCCAGCCACCCTCCTCTCGCCTCTCTCCCACCCAGTCCCAGAGGGTTTCTTTCTTTCTTTCTTTCTTTCCTTTCTTTCTTTCTTTCACGAGTGGGAGGGGCAGAGGGAGAGGGAGCAAGAATCCCAAGGGGACTCCATGCTGAGCGCGGAGCCTGATGTGACCCCGAGATCATGACCTGAGCCGAAACCAAGAGTCGGATGCTCAACCGATGTGGCACCTCGGTGCCCCTCAGAAGGGTTTCTTAAAATATAGTGAGAAAACAAAGCTGGTGAATCATGTACCCAAACCTAATCATGATCCTTGACCTTGGCCTCTAGCTGTCCCCTGAAGAAGAGGAGAAACGTCGAATCCGGAGGGAGAGGAACAAGCTGGCCGCAGCCAAGTGCCGAAACCGCCGCCGGGAGCTGACAGAGAAGCTGCAGGCGGTGAGGAGCTCTGCGTGGGGTGGGAGCACTTCCGGGTGGGCGAGAGCAAGAGCCCTGGGGCTCCTGGCCTCCCACCCTCTCCTTGTCCACTAGTGGCCGATCGATGAGCCAGTGCCGACAGAAACGGTCCTTCCTTTGAGCACAGAGGGTTAGCATCGCCCTAACTGAAGAAGGGAGAGGGCGGGCGGGAGCTGGGCTTCGGCACCAGCCTGGGCCCAGACACGGCCCTGAACAGCCTGCTGGGGCCTAGCACCCTTTCTCCTTCAGCACATGCGCGTTCCCTACTCTCGAACCTTCTGGGGCCCCTGGGTGAGGGATGGCAGAGGGAGCCTGCGCAGGCCCAGACCTGCCCCCTCAGGGCTGTTTCCCAAGGTTTCAGCTGCCCCCGTGCCTACCACCAGCAGGAGTGGCCCGGGCTAGCTTAAGTGAGCTAGTTTGGGCAGGGCTGGGTCCTTTCACCTCGGCAGGGCTTTGGAAGCTTTCTGGGTCTCATGGAAATGGTCACATGCCAGCTGATTTGGACTATCTTGGGGTTTTCTCCTATCCTTCATGGGCAGAAGGCTTCCCCACCTCTGCTGTGAGCCTGAAGCTGTCACCTTGGTAGCTCACTCTGCCCTTGTGAGTCACTCGCCCCTGCTGCCTAATTGCCCACACCTGGGGGCCACGGCCCTGCCCTTCCCTCTCAAAAGCCCGACCTGACCAACATCATGTAACTCCCTCCGGAGCCTAGCCCTACAGGATGGGCTGAATGGCGCGTGGAGGAAGCCTAAAGCCAGGCCTGACTGTCCCGGGTGGAATGTTTTCAAAGTGAGGAGACCGGGGAGACTGTCGGCGTTCCTTACCGTGACCGGCCAGGGAGCGGCTTTGGAAATCACCAATTACCTTGCACATCCCATGACTTTATTTAAGGCTCCCAGTGCCATCCACCTGCCCCAGCTTCCCTTCATCCATCCTGGAGCCCTCACTCTTGGGGATTGAACGTGTACGTGTGAATTCCCTGTAGGCTGCAGGAATGTCCAGTGGAGGGGTGTGTGTGTGTGTGTGTGTGTGTGTGCGTGTGCGCGCGCGCGCGCGTGAGCGAGCATCAGGAGGACAGGTGGGCGCTCTCCATCACTAGGTGAAGAGATCCCTTAGTGACCAGCGCTCCATGGTGTGGAGTCCTCCACTAACCTGCTAAGGGGCCAGGTCCTCTGGGTCTACCCTGGGTGCTCCCCACCGCTAGCCCCAGAATAGCCCCTCCTCCGGGGCCCCCTGCTTTTCCTCCCCTCCCTCCCCCAGAAGCCTCACACCCTACTCCCCTGCCGCTCCACCCGCCCCAGCCACCCAGGCCCCTGAGCCACATCCTCCACAGGAAACCTCTCATAAGCTCATGACGTTTGTCAGACCCTTGAGACAGATGGAAACTTTTTTTCACTGTGGAATATGCCGTTCTCTGCCTCGTGAAGCTCTGGCCTGTACCATCTCATTCTCGAACGGGACTCTGATAGGGGACAAGTGGGGAGGAGGCCCGTGACACCACACCTTTTCACCTTTCGCACCCGCTCCCTCTGCGGGTGTTTGCTGCTTCTCTCTGGCTTTGTGTCAGAGGAGGAGGCCGAGCTCCTTGCCTGGGACCCTGCCAGCCTCAGGCCTGCTCGGGCCACCGGGTTCCTCCTCTGCTAAAGCGCGGGGACTGAACGGAATGTTCTCCAGGGGTTCTGTGAGTCCTGAATCACATGCTTCAGAAATTAGAGCAAAAAAGGGAAGTGGGGCAGTGCCGATTTAGCCGGGACTGCTGGAGAACTTCCTGCCGGCCCGGCACTGTCCTCAGCTTGTGTGTGCAGCTGAGCGGCTGGTGTTGATGCAGCTGAAGGCAGGCTGATGGGGTTGAGGGGGTATGAGGAGGAGAGGGGTGGGACTGCACGCTGTGCTCCCGTCCCCTCCAGACCTCACTATGACCCCCCCCAGGGGTAGCTGGGGGCAGTCCTGGCACTGAGGGCACAGGGCATGGTAGCATAGGGACCCTGGGATCGGATACACTGGGGTCAAGTCTGGTCTACCCTACCTGCTTGCTCTGTGACGTTGGGCAAATTACCAAACCTCTCTGAACTTCAGTTTCCTTATCTGCAAAATGAGTTGATTGAAAAGAGCTGCTTCAGAAATCTTCTGGAGGACTGCCTGCCGTGTCGGGCACAAAGGAAGCCCTCCATCGTGCCAGCTAATTATTGATTCATCCTTCCTCCAAGCCGACTTTCCTCCTTTCTCAATCCGGAGCTTTGGACAAAAAAAGGCCTCTTGAGCCTCCAGGTGTTTCAGAAGCGGTGGGGTCTGTGGCCAGGGGTGTGAGCTCGCTGCTTTCACAGCTCTGGGTTTCCCTTTCTCATCTGGATTCGAACCGCCCGCCCTCCAGCAGGCCCCTGGCAGGTTCCTGCCCCTCACACACCTCTCTTCCCCCTGCAGGAGACAGAGGAGCTGGAGGAGGAGAAGTCAGGCCTGCAGAAAGAGATCGCCGAGCTGCAGAAGGAGAAGGAAAAGCTGGAGTTCATGCTGGTGGCCCACGGGCCTGTGTGCAAGATCAGCCCCGAGGAGCGCCGATCGCCTCCCGCCTCTGGGCTGCAGTCCCTGCGTGGTGGGGGCGGTGGAGCGGGCGCCGTGGTGGTGAAACAGGAGCCCCTGGAAGAGGACAGCCCCTCCTCCTCATCGGCCGGGCTAGACAAGGCCCAGCGCTCTGTCATCAAGCCCATCAGCATTGCTGGGGGCTTCTACGGGGAGGAGCCCCTGCACACCCCCATCGTGGTGACCTCCACGCCGGCCATCACTCCGGGCACGTCGAACCTCGTCTTCACCTACCCCAGCGTCCTGGAGCAGGAACCGCCTGCGTCACCCTCCGAGTCCTGCTCCAAGGCTCACCGCCGGAGCAGTAGCAGTGGGGACCAGTCATCAGACTCCTTGAACTCCCCCACTCTGCTGGCTCTGTAACCCGGCTCCCGGGGGGTCCTCGTCACTGCCTCCTTCCCAGGGACCAGCACCTTCGAGTGCTCCAGGGCCGTGAGGGCAAGAGGGGGGCCCTGCCACAGAGCTGCCCGGCTCTGGGGACACCCAGGTGGGATTTGGCCGTGAGGCGCTGAGGACTTCAGCCATCTCTTAGAAGTCATGGGACCTCCTCCGTCGTTCATCTTGCAAAGCAAATCCTGTTTCTTGAAAAGCCTTGGAGAACTTGGTTTGGTGGACTCAGGCATCTCTCTGGCTTCTGAAGAGCCTGCGGCTGGTGTGGACCGTTCCTGTCCCTTGTTATGCTACGTCTCTGGAGTGATGGTGTCCTTCCCCGCCCCACCCAGCATGCTCAGTGCCTTTTGGTTTCACCTTCCCTCTATTCGCCCCTTCCTCCCCCCAGTGTCAATTTCACTTCCTCTTGGTTTTTATCAAATTTGCCATGACATTTCATCTGGGTGGTCTGAATATTAAAGCTCTTCATTTCTGGAGATGGGCAGCAGGTGACTGACTCTTCTGCTGGGGCTGACTTGTCCGGAAGGGGACAGTCAATGTGCAATACAGAACCTTCTCTCCCTTGACACTCCCCGGTCCACCGCCATCTCCAGGACCACCAGCAGGGCTCCCTGAGCTCTCAAGGAGATGTTGCCATCACTGGGAGGCCCGGAGGACCCTTCCTCTCCATCCTCGGAGACAACTTTTTGGAGGAGCGGCTTGTCCAGAAGACAGGGTGTGAGTGAGACAGCCGGGGCACAGGTTGGGTTTGCCAAATGCCTAATTACCAGGCCAGGAATAGTGCCAACAAGCCACACAGGTGTCCTAGCCAGCTTCCCTTTACCTGGTGTCTTGAGCAGGACGTCTCCTATAATTACTGCCTCGCCATCCTGCCCCTGGACCCTTCTCTCTAGACCAGGGAGGCGTCCCTCCCTAGGAACCACACATCACTCCAAGTCCCTACTGGCTCTGCCCTCCCCCAGCCTGGCTCTCAGGGTGACGCCACCCACGGAGATTTAATGAGCGTGGGCCTGGCCCCTCCCCAGATTGCTGCCAGGTGGCCCCTCCCCAAGCCTCAAAAGGCACTTTTGTTGTGGATGGAAAGGTAGGGGAGGAAAGAGGGAGGCAGAGTGGGATTCGCCTCTCAGTGAGCTGCCGGGCCCTTTCTACCTGCTGTGGTCACCGGCTACCTGATGGAGCGCTTTCTCTTTTACATACTCCTTCCCCCAGAGTGCTCCTCGGTCCAGCCAGCCAGCTGTGGACCAGTGGCCTGGAGCTGTTGTTAATAAGGCTTGGGGCTTACCTGTCATTCCTGGGGGGCTGCTGAAATCAGACATAAGATGTGTTGCTTCCCACTGCAGGAGAGGTGCCCCCTTCCCCTGTGGGGCGGGGAGCAGGGAGGGGGTCCTCTGGCCTCCTGCAAAAGCACAGCTGAGCGGCCTCCCTGCCTCCCACCCCTCTGAGCCTTTTTCTCCTGAGGGCATAGCTCTGGCTGATCTTCTTGGATTGGCCTCTGCTGGGCTAGCTGCTCTGGGGGAGACCCTGCTATTGTGATTCAGCTCTAGAGATCATTGTATGATAATTTAAAATTAGATAGATATTATTTAAATCAAACCCAGTGGGGGTTAAATTTCAAAGTTAGACTCGGGAGAAAGAGAGAGAGAGAGAGAGCAAGCGCAGGAGCTGTAAGGCGTTCACTCACTTGCCCCCCTCACACACCCCGGCCTCGAGCGCTGGTCCTTATTTGCTGCCCATACCCCCCTCCGAGCTCTAGAAGGGAGCGCGCAGAATGGGGCAGCCAGAGGCTTAAAGTACACAGCCCGCTCTGACTGGAAGTGACGTGTGAAAGGCTAGGCCATGCAGAGAGAGGAGATTAAAAGAAAAAGGATTTTGTCCAAAAATATTTTTAAAATGTTATTTCCCATATTCCCTGGCTATGAGGCTGCCCTCCCGGTTTCCCAGAGGTTCTGGGAGGGGCACTCCTTATTAGACTAGGCAATTGAGTTTCTGGCTTCAGATTAATCAAAGAAACAGAAGTCAGCCAGGAACAGCAGGAGGTGGGCAAAGAAAACCGGGGTGCGCTCAGTTCTGAAAGGCTTAATCATCTCAAGTGGTATTTGTGGCCAGTTGGGAGCTCTTTGCTTCTTTTTGCATGTGTGTGTGTGTGTGTGTGTGTGTGTGTATATATATATATATATATATATATATATATATATATGCTATATATATATATATATTTCTTAAATGAAGCTGCTTTGGTGTTTTATTTCTAAACGTCCCTTTGTGCCCCACTTTGCACAGCACTGATCCCAAGGCAGGCCACAGTCTGTGACTCGGGGCCAGGCTGGACATTCCTGAGACAGAGTTTGGCTTTAGTTCAGATTTCAGGCTGTGTTGGCTTTGGGACCAGCAGAAGGCAGAAACTCCACCACCCCGGAGGACTTTAGAGGCCTCTCAGCTGTCCCATTCAGGACCCTCTGGCTTTGTTCCAGGAGGTGGTTTGGCTTTCCCAAAGCCAGAGGTTATTTGGGGAAGGCCGAATATTCACCCCGAACTCATGAGCACGTCCTCCTTGACTTCTTCTGGCTTGTTCTCTTGAGTTCCTGCACACACACCATTGTTCCAGAATTACCAGCCACCAGGCCTTCTGCTTTCTCCTCTATGGCTCCAGCTACAGGAAGAGCTGCAGTGGGGGTGCCTTCGTGCTTGGGTTGGGAACCGCTGGGCCTCCCCTGTGTCCCCAGCCATGAGGCAGCTGGTGTGGACTCCAGCTGGGCTGCAGGCAGCTCTGGGACGGCACAGGGCAGGCACTCCTTGACAGGCTAGTGTGAACCACACCCTGTCCTCTCGGCCACCTGGCTGGCCTCTCTGGGATCAGTCCTCTTCCTGGCTGAATGGACGGGGACAGCTTTTGACACAGGAAAGAGAGGAGATCCCAGGTGAAGCTCGGGCAATGGCCGGAGCCAGCTGTAAGCGGAAAATTCACGGGGGAAGTTTTCAGAAAGAAATCATTGTTCTGCCTGTGAGAAAGGCCAGGTGTTCCACTGTGGCCAGTCACACAAGCATCTCAGCCAAGAGCCCTCAGAGGTTACTGCTTCCTTTTCTCAGGCTTTGGGGAAGAGAGTCTCCTCCGCTCCCACTTGGCTCTAAGTCTAAGGGAGGACTCAGTGCTACTTTTCTCCCCTTCCCTTGATGGACCAACAGCGCTCCTGCAATCTCACCATTTACCTTTCCGGTTGGTCTCCTTCCTGATCAGATATCACACGGCCCCTTTAAGAAGGAAAGGCAGAAGCCCCTACTGTGTGCCAGGCACTGTGTTAGGCACTTTTATAAATATACCCTCTTTAGGATGAGACTAAGGGATGAGGGTATCCCCTCTTCAAGGCCCCCACGTAATGGATAAACAAAAGCACTTGGAGGTGAGAAGGTCTTCCTTCAAAGATCTGAGGCAAGATTGCCTCCAGTCCGAGGTTTGTTCTCAAAGACCCATCCCCCACAGTATCCTCCCACCTCTAAACTTCTTTTCCCTCTCCCTCGTGATGTGCTCCTTTGCACTCCTCAGATGGTTGGAGGGGTAACCTGAGTCCTTATAGAATTTGTGGACCAATAGGATATGTGATGTGTGTAACTTTCTTTTTAAAACTTAAGTAAAGGGGTCTTGCTACTTTCTGCTTGTTGAGTCTTCTTGGCATTCATCTTAAAAGCCAGCATCTCACTATTTATTGACAGGTTGGGTGTGTGTGTATGTGCGTGTGTGTGTGTGTGTGCGCGCGCTGTGTGTGTACATTTCCAAGTGTGCCTCCTGCAACTTTTAAAAAGGAAACTCAGTCGTCCCACTACTAATTTGACATCTTCTCATGCTTCTAGTGTTTTGGCCATACGTCAACAGAGGGCTTTCATTTTCCAATGCTGATGTGTTCAGGAAAGGCTGGGTCAAATTTTGAGCAGGGGATGGGAAGGGGAGGGGGAGAAGAAATCGACATGTATTTTATTATTTATTTAAAATGTTTACATCTTTGTGTTGTACCAAGCCTGAAGAGAAACAGCATTAAAATACTCAGTTCCTCTCTCCCTCTCTTTCTTCATTTTTTTTTTTTTTAATTTAGGCTAATGATGCTTTTTTGTTTCTGAAATGATTTGTGACATGTGTTGTATAGACTGTATAAAAAAGGTTCTGTTCTTAAAGATGGATGGTCATTCCTCTGGGGACAGTGGTCACCGAGAAAGTCTACATTGTAAGAAAATACAATGGAAGATCCTGCCCTGTTCCTCAAAAATTATTTTCTCTGTATGATTAAAAGTTTATTCCATTTATTTTAGTTTGTGGTTACTTGATGTCGAGGAAGAAAATATTCGCCTTTGTATAAAGAATAGGTATCAGGGTGTCTTTTCTGCAGTGAGAGATGTATATATCGTATTTTGGTATATAGTGGAAAAGCATAAGCTTTGTGCATCTGTATTTGAGATATGTCAATGATGTGGAGTAAAGTCTGCTATAAGATCCTGGAGGCAAACAAGTTGTACAAGATTCCTATAGCTCTACGGGGGAATTGAATTACCTTTGTGAGCAGCTGCTGCTGCTGCTGCTGCTGCTGCTGCTGCTGCTGCTGCTGCTTCTTTTCTTCTCTCTCTCTCTCTTTTTTTTTTAAGTATTGGTGAAATGGTCCCATTGGAAAGGCTTCTAAATAGGCCTCTCCAGGCAGGACCACGAGCTCAAAAATCTTTGTAGAGCTTTGAAAATTGAGGAGTAGCTCTGCTCTGAAGCATTTCTGGTGGTGTTTTCTGTTGTTGTTTTGTTTTGTTGTTTTACTGTAATATAGGCCTACAGTATTTGCACTAAAGAAAGCTTGTTAGAAAAAGCTTGCTGCTATGGAAGAAAGAACATATTAAAACTTTTTTTTTTTTTTGGTTAGCTTTTCCACTTTCAATTGAGTAGTTTTTGTAGAATAAAATGAATTAAGATTGAAGAGGCTCTGATGGTTGGTTTATTCCATCTTTTTCTTCCCATCTCTGCTGTCGTTTCTCTTTTTATTCTAGACTTTTCTGCCTTTGGCCTTGGGGGTGGAGTTGGTCTCTCTGGTGGGTGGGCGAAGCGGGGAATGGCCTCTTTCTGCAAAACGGTGAGGTGGGCCACTGGCTGGGGCATAGAGCTGTCCCCCCTCTCCTTCGCCTCCTTTCTCCTGCTTGTCCTCCTGACCCCCCCCTTAACTCCTCCCAGTCCTGTTCCCTCTTTCTCAGGGCCTGACTCTCAGCTAGCTGCCAACTACTGTCAAGCTGTGAGCCAATAAAAGTTCAAGGTCCTGTCCCTTCCTGGGGGTATTTTGTTTGAATAGTTTGGCTCTGGAAACCCAAGAATCTTCAAAGAACCTATGAAATGTATCGCTAAGATTGTCCAGGTGAGCAAATGAGATCACGGGCAGGAAAGGCCTCCAAAAAAACAAAAAAAAAAACGAGGCATGCATCTAAGTGGACGATCACATCTTCAGATTTTCTTTCTGAAAAGACACAGGCTGTTAGGTGTGGAACTGAGAGGTGTCAGCCCAGACCCCATTGCTGCGGGTAAAGGGGGCACATCTGTTCGGGGCTGATCCTCCCTTGCAGCATAAATGGAATGGGGGGCAGAGCCTTCAGGAGTGCAGCTGGCTGAGAATTAGCCCCTGAAATTGCACCGGGCACTGCAAATCTGCTTCGGACCAGCTCGGTGTGCAGGCCTCATTCTCTGGAGGATCCAAGAGCACTGGACTGAATCAGAAGGGCCCTAAATCCCCAGCCTGCCCCCACTACGCAGTGGCTGTTGAGTTCGGGAGAAAGCCATTTAACTGCTCTGAGGCTTTGTCTCCTCCTCGTCTGGAAAGGGGAGGGCAACAACCGTCCAACGAGAGCGCCCACACCAGCAGGATTAGGGGAGCTCCTCCTTTCCCTTTTGAGAGGGTCTGGGGCATTAGGGGACAGGGCACTCAGAAGTCTCCACACGGGGCCTCCTAGGAATCTCTTCTGCCTGAGCAGACACCACAGAATGAGATGTCTGATTTCCAGGGTGGCGGATGTGTCCCCTTGTTGTGTAAGGGTCAAGGATCTCTGGGAATGTTCACGTGGGCTTCTGTCGGCTTCGGGGACTATGCCGCCCACGGACAAGCCTGTGCTCATGTCTCTCCACGTGCCTCTCATGCCTGGGCACTTCTAGAACACCTTTCATCTTCCACTAACACTTCGAAATCTGCTTCGTTTTAATTTCCACCTCTTCGTCCACATGGCAATTAGAGAGGTCGACGATTGCCAGGCACTTAGGAGGTAGAGTCAACAAGCCTCTTTGGGCAGCTGTAAATGCCTTAAAAACATCTGGACAGATTTTCAGTCTTTTTATTTTTTTTTAAAGATTTATTTATTTGAGAGACAGAAAGAGAAAGAGCAGGAGGAGGGGCAGAGGGAGAGGGAGAGAGAGTCTCAAGCAGACTCTGTGCTGGGCCGGAGCCCGATACGGGACTTGATCTCATGACCCTAAGATCATGACCTGAGCCGAAACCAAGAGTCAGATGATTAACTGACTGTGCCACCCAGGTGCCCCTTCTTTTGAGAAAAACAGTAAGGGGCCACCATCACTGGGTCCCTAGACCTACCAGGGTCTGTGAGGGAATTTTGCAGTCACTGCTAAATCTAGTCTGTCCTGGTCCAAACTCCGTTGAGTGAGCCAGGTTGACGGTAAACTCTATTGGTGACATGTCCAGCAAAGTTGGAGTTTCGAGGATTAGGTAGAGTGTTCTCCCCTGGGAAGGATGTGTTGGTGACAGATTCCTGGGGCTCGCCTCTGCTGCTGGACCTAGATAGAGTCCCCAGGTGCATAGAACTTTGTCACCAGGCTTTCCCTGCTCATGGCACTGCCACTACATGAAGGAAAGGAATTTTTCCTGGAGCCAGTATTTTCCAAGACGTTCAGCAGCATTTGCGTCTTGAGCTACTGAACGGCGCCTTGTATGTGAAGGCATGTGAGAAGGTACGAAGTGCTAAAATCAGGAGGAAACCTAAGTGGTTAAAACCCATAGACCTTGGTTAGAGAGTTGACTGATGCACCCTGCCTATGACAGCCATTGGGCTCTGGGCTCCAGTGCCATGTTTGAAGTGGAAGGGTGCAATTTCCCTTTGGGCCCCATGTGTTTAAAGGATGGAGGAGATATTTGTGCACGAGCAGCCCAGCCCCTGCTGGCCCAGGGCCCCCCCTCCAGGCCCCAGCAAGGAGGAGGGCCGATGGCCTCCCCTCCTGGTCAGCCTCGCTCCTGATCCATGATGCTGCTCTTGCATCCTGGTGGAGAGTCTGTTCCTCCCTGGACAAGACAACGAAGGACTGCTTCCTGAGAAGTTATGAGCTGTTAGGACAAGTCCACCCACCCTTTTTACAGTCAGCCCTTGCCTTTGTAGAACCTGCCACAAGTGGAGACAAACTGCTGGCCCATGACTCTGCCCTGTGGGCAGGCTCCTCCTGCTTCCTGTCCACTGGGCCCTGGTGGACAGATGGCCCAGTGAAGTGTCCAGGGATTCTATCCAGTCACTGGAAAATTCCACTCATTTAGAGGAAAAAATAAAATCCACCACAGGCTCCATCTCTGGAACTAGAAAAGTCCTTAATCAAACAAAACACACCTTACCAAGTCCTGGTGTCAGCCAAAGGAGAAACAAAGGAAAACACAGACACTCAGCAGCGTGTGGCTTGGTTTGTAATGGTGTTCAGCTGGGTGTCTCCAAGGACACTTTGAGGACATGGCCCTGCTTAGACATGGGGGGACCCCGTTCCTTACCCAAAGGCAAGGCAAGGTGCAGGGTGCTGTGGGGCCTTTGATCTAGGGCTGTTCTAGAATACAGCACTGCCTTGCCTTGTAGGACATTCAGTGAAGTATTCAGTATTATTTAAATCATATGCGACTTTTTAAATTAAGGTGAAGTTCACATAACCTAATAGCAACCCTTTCAGAGTGAACAATTCAGCGAGATTTAGTACCTTCACAGTGTCATGCAAGACACACACTCCTGCCTAGTTCCAAAACATTTCCTCACACCAAAAGGAACCCCGACCCATCAAGTAATTGCTCCCCATTTCCCCCTGCCCCCCCATTCCTGGCAACCATCGATCTGCTTTCTGTTTCCATGGATTTATAGTTAGGCAGTATTTTTCAGAATCCCAATGAGTCTATTTTCTCAACTAGAAAGCAATCGGGAAACATCAGCACAGAAAATAAACTAGTAAGTATGAATGGCAATATAGTCGGTCCCTTGTTGTAGGGTCTCATAGGTTTCAGATGGCTCCACATTCATGGTCTTGTTCAGAAGCCCAAGAGACAAATGTTACTGAACGTGTTGAAATTATCAGCTGCAGGAGAAATTCCTTTGCCCTTACACAGTGTCGTGTCTGGTACGCTGGCAAATATAGTCACTACCTTGATCCGCTGCATAAGGCATGCGTTTGTTTCTCAAGTAAAGATGGAATAAACCTGAAAAGACCGACTCTGTTCGCTGGTGAAAACAGACATCTTTTTCATGTTGTAAACACAGGACAATGGCATTTATAAATTAATTTTCCAAACTGATGTGTAGACAGAGACTGTTGCCACCATATTCCTACGGATATGAGGGAGAAAATATCTTACTCGTTGAAAAATATTTTTGTGTCCCTACTAAGTGCGTGGCAACCCTGAAAGTCGCTACTGGGGATACGGTTGTATAGGACACTATTTATACAAGTGTTAACAGAAAGCGGTTCTTTGCTCCACGATCAAACATTTTCATTTGCTGTATCGATTGACTACAAACTGGAAGCTTCCCTCAAGGTTCTAGTGTGATGGGAGTGAAAGGATGGGGACGGCAGGCATTCCGGAAGCAGACGCTCTGGGGTTTGGCCTGTGGCCGGTGGAGGTTTCAGAGAAGAGTCCGCAGCAGAAGGGCCCTGGGCTAGACGGGCGGGGGGCGGGGAGGGGGGGGGCGTGCACGTCTGCACAAGAGGGACTGGAGCACGAGCACGTGAGCAGAGGGAGCCGTCGGAGCAAACACCCTGGTGCGGGAGGAGGTGGGGGGGGCAGCTTTGGGGCCTGGGAAGGAGTCCCCAGTACCTGAAGCATGGGCTGATTTAGGGGGTGATGGAAATTTAACCTGAGATCCCAAGGGCCCGACAGGCTTGGCTTTGTCATTAGTTGGTCAGGCAGGTAACATCCTTGCGCTGGGGAGATGGGCGCGATAAGGAAGCCTGTGCCTGTGCGCATGCGCGCGCGCACTCCCTGCCGTTGTTAGTGACACGGGATCGAGTAATTACTGAGAGTCTCAGAGAAGAC